GGATCTCATTGTAGACTTGGTATACATCAACGATTTACGACCACCACCATACACGTAATACACGTCTGGACGACCGTCAAGAACAATCCTATAGGCAACAAGGCCAAATTGTAGTAGTATTGTATAATGCTGTCATGGGCTTTCGCTGATGTATTAGGAGTCGGACTTCTTTTGCTTCTTTCTTAGGAGCTTCACGTGTGGAAGTTTGAGACCATTAGAAAGCAATAACTACCCTTATATCTGGCAATGGACCCGTGATTGCCAACTGTGCAAACGACTACGCAACGACGTTGAACATAAAAAAGGCTAGGGTGGCAAGGAGACCTCTCACGAGATTTCGGACTTTGGTTTGGTTCGATTTTTGGAAACCTTAACCCTTTGATTGTCAAAACCGAATCAAACCGCAACTTGCGTTTGAATCTGCCGGTTTGGTTCAAGCTTATGGTCCCGTTGATCCTTGAACCATCGATTCTTCATCTTCCGTGCAAACACAAAAGGCCTCTTCCTCTCCCAACATTGTAGCTGTCTTCACAAACTGCAGATTTTTTTACAGACTCCATTAGCTCCTTGATTTCCAACACTCACAAAACCAATCCATGGATTCCTTTACTTTAACGAACAACCAAATCAATGTCAACTTCACCAGCCAGAGCCACTCTGAAATTTCATCTCGCCACCCTCCCAATGACAACTCAAACCAACCCGACATTCCCTTACTTCTCCAATCCTCATATGAGCTATGCAGCTTCAGAGTCAGCCTCAAATGGTGGGCACTCGACCACTCCTCGTGCCTTGGAAAATTCATATCTTACTTCACCTTCATCTTCTTAACAATCCTAGTCCCTATCCTCACCTCCCTCTCTTTAAATACCTCATCTGACCCCATCTCGTTCAACAAGCTAGTCCAACTTCCTGAGTCCGGCTTAGCTGCCATTGGCTTCATAACTCTCTCCGGCTTCTTCAGGAAATATGGCCTAAGACAACTTCTCTTCCTTGACGGTCTTGGAGACGACTCTGGCTTTGTTCGTCGCGAATACACTCGTGAGCTCAATAAGGCCTTCAAGTCCCTTGCTTGCATACTACTGCCTTCATTTTTCATTGAGCTTGCCCACAAGATCATATTCTTCTGCACTGTCAAGATCTCACTGCCTCATATTAGTTCAAGCGTCCCACTCAATTCCATTATGTTTGTTATCGTTCTGGCTTCTTGGGTTTATAGGACAGGCGTGTTCTTGCTGGTTTGTGTTTTGTTTCGCTTGACGTGTGAGCTCCAAATACTCAGGTTCCAAGAACTACACAAGTTGTTCGAGGGGTGTGAATCCGAATCCAGCATCATATTTAAGGTATGCTTTGAAATTTCAGTAATGTCTTTGCTATTTTCTCTCGAAAGAGTGTGATAGAGGTAGTAATTAGTTAGCACATTACCAGATACCAATCTGTAGTACTTGGTACTTTGTCGGTATTTGGTCAACAATTTGTGGATATTTACAAGATATCAATAAAGTATCTATAACATATCAGTGAAGCAGAATATCCATGATGAAGCAAAAACTGGTACCTGATACCAAACAATCTTCTCTCTTTGGTGCAACATTTGTTTTCCACATGTTTTTGTGCACATTTGATATAATTTCTCTTGATAATTCTGTATTTTCAGGAACATGTAAGGATAAGGAAGCAATTGTGGGTTACCAGCCATAGGTACCGGTTCTTTATCATTGGATGCTTGTTTATAATCACCGTGAGTCAATTCGGGGCCTTGTTGCTGGTTTTGGCATCCAAGACGGAGAAGACTTTCCTCAACTCTGGTGATCTTGTGGTTTGCTCTGCCGTTGAGCTCAGCGGGTTGTTCTTGTGTCTAATGGAGGCAGCAAGAATAACTCATAGAGCTCAAGGAATTGTGGCAATTGCAACGAGATGGCACATGTTCTTGACTTGTCCATCTACTTTATCAGATCAGCAGTGCAAAAACTGGCTGCGCTCCGAGGCTAGCGGACAGCATGGAGAGAGCGACTCCGAACATTTATCCGACGTTTTCTCTTCAGTTCCTCAAGAGGAGCCTTCCTCGTTCCAAACCAGGCAAGCTTTAGGTCAGTATGCTTATTGCTTTCTAAGTTTCTACCTTCCTTGCTTGCTAGCTAGTAGCGTAAAGCTACTCATAGTAGTACAACTACTTTGGGTAACAAGAAAAATTTGAGACCTAACCCGGACACAAAGGCGTACGGAAGACTCTGATAGTTGTAGTGACCTGCAAATTTGTTAACCATGCGTATCAGGTAAACCCGAATGTTTTTTGAACATGTGAAAACTCGAACCTAGGACAAGAGAAGTACCTCCATTTTTGCCTAAACTCGAACCTAGACTCTATACATGCTTGTATTTTATGGTTGTCGTATGGATGCGTATGGATAACTGGGGTGTGTGTGTGTGCAGTGGCGTATTTGCGACACAACAATGGAGGGATCACGCTGTTTGGATTTATGCTTGATCGGGGGTCGCTTCGCACACTGTTTGCATTTGAGTTCTCTTTGGTGCTGTGGATACTCAGCAGAGTGGTTGTTTTGCATTAAAACAAAGTTATAGGAATTTTCAGTGAAGATTCCAACACCAACAACAACAATGCTGGAGCCTTGATAGTTTGGTGTTATGGCCTGAAAAAAAAATAAAACAAAAACCAAAAAGAAAAATAAATTGAAAGTGGAGGATTGGTATAACGTTACCCGACTATCCAGGGTGAGGATCGTGGTTCATCGGCTCATCCGGGGAGGATCAGTCGTTTCCTACCAATCCTCTCATGCTTCGATTTTTTCCTTGGTACGTTATTATATTTTGTTTGAGTGTTTTTTGGTTTTCGTTCTTTTCTTCCCTTTTATTATGTAATTGGTGTGATTATTTGTTTCTTCACAAATCATAAGATGTAATTTTTAAGGTATGCAAATGCTTTAAATTGTTCATTTTATTTTTTTCGGTTTCAGAACTAATTTTTAACTTGATAATTCTTTCATTCATTTTCATTTATTTGAAGATAGCTTAGATTGTTTTTAATAAGAATGATCAATTCACTTTGTTTGTCTTTGCATGTTCAATTTACGTAAAGTCGACATCTCCAAATTAAGTAAAAAGTTTTAACCCTTCGGCGGCCTTCTTGCTTTTTGCTCAAAAGGATTACCTTCAAGGTTCTAGTTTTCCTTTTGAAGTCCAAAATTTTCAATAAATTATGCACATTCTAATGAGCAATGAAAAACCATTATTAATGAATAGACAAGAATGAACAAATGGTGTGATACCAAAAAGTGTAGTAGCCCATCACACTCCCAACAAATTTTGGCAGCGTAGGAGTTCCGCGGTGTGGCCTTTTTGTTGCAAGTGAATATTCTACGACCATTAGTACTACCGTAGCAATCCATGTTGCAACTTCTGTTGTGGGCAATATTGCATAGGAGGAATATTGATCCATGTTGCAACTTCTGTTGTGGGCAATATTCCATAGGTGGATTGTTGATGGTCCCCCAGTCCCGCAACTATTGTGTATTGGAAGATCAAATGATCCAAGTCATTGATTCTCGAAAAATCACAAGCAAAGTGATGACCTCCATGTAGGATATCACTCTTATTACTACCCCTCATGCAATCATCTATGTATTTTGGACATAAAATATACAATGTGAATAATGTGAAACATATGCATTCTTGAGTTAAGCTAGATGATCAGCACAATGTGCCTGCCTCTTCTCCGTAATGCTCAAGTTTGAAGTTGAAAATTCACATCAGTTTGGTTTGTTTTTTTCCTCTCTTCCTGTCGCAGGGCATTGCTCTATCCGTTGATGAAATTTTTGGTGAATTTAATGGCAAAAAAATAGATATAAGTTATTTGCCCATTAATATTATAATACATGGCAAGTGGTTAATAGTAGCCAATGAAGTGATTATACATGAGTGATTGTTCGTCGTTAATGCATGTTTTATTAATTTTTTAATAAAAAAAATGTGACAATATTGCTCACCGTTTCTCCCTTAATCTTATTAAAATAAAGAGAGAAATACAAATAAAGGGATGTATGTACATCTCATTATAGATACTCACATACATCAACAATTAATCACCACCACTATACTTGCGTGGATGCATGATTGTCGAAAATAAATATCTAGGAAACAATGCCTAAACCGAAACACAATTGACATAGATATTTTAGGACTCAAGGACTTCATTTTCTTCTTTCTTGTTTCACGTGTCGCAAGTTGAGATCATTGGAGAGTAATAACTATCTGCCTATTGGCAATGAACCCGTGATGTTGGGTCGGGTTAGCTTCGACCAAAAGCTTACTATTGTACCTTAATTTGGCACAGTATACATAATACAAGTGCTCAAATACTAACTAGTTAGTAAATTAATTGGCATACTCCACAAAGTAAATAAATTATTTTTGATTTAAATGAATTTTTACATGTATGATCTTTCAATGATAATCTAATAAATGATCAGTTTAGATTATAAAAAAATATCATGAAATGGCTAGCGCTTGAACGGCTCTCTCTCGATATTCATTTCAATATATATGTATGACATTGCTTTGTTTCTCAGGAATCAAAGAATATATATGCAACATGTTAAGAAATTAATATGAAATGATATGGAAAACAAAAAAAAAGCAACTAAACTCTTTGTCAGTTCATCTGTACTCTTCACTCCACTTGAAACCCCTAGTTGAAGAAGGCTAGGGTGGTAAAGAGGCTCTCACGAGAAAAGGCAAGCTCTTTTGCCCTTCCTCAACTTTCCAACTTCCCTTTTGTTTGGGTTTTGGATCATTTCTAATTTGATGGTCCAACCTAAACTTAATTGATGTTATGGCTTGAATCGTTTGATTTGAAGTTCACCCTAAGTTTATAAGTTGGCGTGACTTCTCGGACTTTTATTGATCAGATTATCTAAGCAGTCGTGTCTGCAAATGAGTGGTCCAAGTGGCATTGAAGTTAGCTGGCAATAGAAAATTATGATCGTCCAAAAGGAGGAAATTAGCATGAAAAGTATGTCTACCACAAAAATCATTGTGGACACTTGCTTCATCCACCCTTCAATTACAAAGGGACTCAAATTTTTACAAAGAGCGTATTACTCTTGCCCAAATGCCAAGCAAAATCTTTCCCAATCTTCCAACAGCGTTGCTTCCATTGACCCCTTTACTCTCCAACACTCACAGAACCAATCCATGAACAACCAAATCAATGTCCACTGCACTAGCCATCCCCAAATTTCTTCTCCCTGCCGCCCAAACGACGATGCCAACCAACCTAACACAGCTCCCTTACTTCTCCAATCCTCTGATGAACTCCGCAGCTTCAGAGTCAGCCTAAAATGGTGGGCACTCGATCACTCCTCATGCTTCGGAAAATTCCTATCTTACTTCACCTTCATCTTCTTAACAGTCCTAGTCCCAATCCTCACCTCTCTCTTTCTCAAACTCCCATCCGGGGACCCCATCTCATTCAACAAGCTAGTCCAACTTCCAGAGTCTGGCTTAGCTGCCATTGGCTTCATTACTCTTTCTTGCTTCTTCCGAAAATATGGCCTGAGGCAACTCCTCTTCCTTGACGGTCTTAGAGATGACTCTGGCTTTGTTCGTCGCAGATACACTCGTGAGCTCAATAAGGTCTTCAAGTACCTAGCTTGCATACTACTGCCTTCATTTTTCATTGAGCTTACCCACAAGATCATATTCTTCTCAACTATCCAACTCTCACTGCCTCATATAAGCTCAAGCGTCCCAGTCAATTCAATTATGTTTATTTTGGTTTTAGCTTCTTGGGTATATAGGACTGGGGTGTTCTTGCTGGTCTGTGTTATGTTCCGGTTGACTTGCGAGCTCCAAATTCTTCGATTCAAAGGGTTGCACAAGTTGTTTGAGGGGCGTGAATCTGAATCCAGCATCATATTCCAGGTATATATATGGTTTCAAATTTCAATAAAATCTTCGACATTTCTCTTTTTAACAAGTATCCTAAAGCCAATTTAGTTGTTACAGTATTGTGTACCAGTCCATATTACTTGCTTGATAGTACTAGATATATCAATAAAAGATCAATAATAATGCACAACACTTTTTCTTATACATTTGATAAAAAAATTCATATAATTTCAGGAACAGGTAAGGATAAGAAAGCAATTGTGGGTTACGAGCCATAGGTACCGATTCTTTATCATCGGATGTATGTTTACCATCACGGTGAGTCAATTCGGGGCCTTGTTGCTGGTTTTGGCATCCAAGACGGAGAAGACTTTCCTCAACTCTGGTGATCTTGTGGTTTGTTCTGCAGTCGAGCTTAGTGGCTTTTTTTGTTGCCTAATGGAGGCAGCAAGAATAACTCATAGAGCTCAAGGAGTTGTAGCAATTGCAACAAGATGGCATATGCTCTTGACTTGTCCGTCTGCCGGATCAGAACAGCAGTGGAAAAGCAGGCAGATCAGCTCAGAGACTAATACACGCTGTGGAGAGAGTGACTCCGAGCATTCATCTGACATTTCCACTTCAGTTCCTCCACAGGAGCCTTCCTCATTTCAAACCAGGCAAGCTCTAGGTGAGTATGCGTGCTTTCTAAGTTTATACACGCCTTAACTTTATAGTAATACAATTATTTTAATCAGAAAAAATAAGGACCTACTTATTCAATAAAAAACCAAAGGGTAAATAAACTCCAAATATGTGTAGTTACTTGCAAATTAATCAACCCCACGTATCAGGTAACCTCGGATGTTTTTTAACATGTGAAAACTCGATCCTAGTACAAAGTACCTCAATTTGTGCTCCCTTTATACATGCTTCTATTGCGCAGCAGTGATATGGATGCTAATGTATAGCTTGGCGTGTGTGTGCAGTGGCGTATTTGAGTCACAACAACGGAGGGATCACGCTGTATGGGTTTGCACTTGATCGGGGGTTGCTTCACACATTATTTGCATTTGAGTTCTCTCTGGTGCTGTGGGTGCTCAGCAAAGTGGTTGTTTTGTCTTAAGAACGACTTAGAAGTTTGCCGATTGAAAGTTAACAATGCTGGAGGCTGAAAAGCAGTACCAATCAGATGTTATATTGAAATCTTTATATTTTTCATGGACAATACTAGATATTTAACATTAATATATACATGAGGTATTCAGCTTGATGTTTGTGTCAGGTGCCCTCGAAGAGAATCCACTACGATCAATTATTTGCTGGCAATATTTCGTCAATCTCCTGCGGAATATACAAGGTTGCCAAAATATAAGCTTCCTTTGATAGATGTCCATTGACGATTCCTCTTTGCGTGGTAGCACATTGAACGAAACAGTTGTTCATTAACTTTTGGGTATTCCACCTAAATCAAAATAACAAGCGATTAACTTGTGTTTAGCGCATCATAATAAACAAAAAATCAAAGCGTGTGGCAATAAACTAGTTTTATATAAATCCTACACATTAGATTTCGTATGAGTAGTAAATTTAACAATACCATGCAGGATACAAAGGGTTGTGTGGGAAGCCCCTTGCGCCATTGAGATCTGATGCAGGAGCAAATTAAGGAATTATTTCTTATTTTGTATTAAGTTTTGTTATTTATTTTATTTTTCATAATTACTAATTCGACAGAGAAATTAAGTACTTTTCTAATGTATTTTTATTTCTTTGTAGAACACTAGGTTATTTTCTTTAATTATATAAATATAATGTAATTTAGAGTTAAGGAGGACTTTTGGATTAATACTATTGAATATTTTCTTTGAACAACAAGAATTCCCTGCGTTTTTATCCCTTTCTCTTGTGTTTATTCATTGTATTGATGTGAGTGCTTCTGGATTCACATTAAAATGTACGAGAAAGTTGATCAATTTTTTTGAGTAAGAGTGAAACTACCATAGTAATTTACGTTAAGATACACTTTGAAGTGTAATCAGTTTCAAACTGTGTACAGAAAACTAGAGTATTTTATTTTGCTCGAAGAAACAAGAACCATTCTAATAATAAATTCTAACGAGTTTACAAACAGTAGAGGGATCAGTTTTGCTATTTTCTTAATTATCGATGTCATACAGGTATATATCCACTGCAATTTGAGTATACATTTTATATAGTTCTTTTTACAAGGTATTTTATATAGCTTATATATGCAGAATACGTATGATTGAAGTATTTCATAGCAGCATTGTAACAAAATTACAGTTTTTTGTTTGTTACAGAATTACTGTTTAGGACAGGTGATAATACTCTTAAGTATTAAAATAATAGTTTTTATAGTGCACACAACTCTTTTTTTTTTTTTTTTTTTTTTAATTTTAAATAAAGTACATGTAATTACTTGCAAATCACGTACGACATCTTATATATATAATTATACAAGTATATTACTTGGAAGTGAAGTTACCGTCTACATCACATAGAAGTTTGGCTGAACCAACAATGAAGTTCGCGTCGTCATTACAAGAACAAAGAGCAACCTAGCTAGGTAAACAGCACAAACCAAGCTGGAAAAATTATTAGTATAATAAAGAAACTAACGTTGTGTATGTAGCTAACCTGCGACAATTACAAATCTTGGATTTTATGGGGCGCTCTAAAGTTGGTCCTCTCAACAGATTATGCTTTCTTTTTATAATCTTAAATGTCCCAATTTATATATCTATAATTAATGGACCCATGTTTCATCAGAATATTACTTTATCATACTTAAAATGTATCAATTTTTTTAATGTAAAATATACTCATATTATTGTTTTCGGTATAAAAAGTTTAGAGGGGAAGGGAGGATACCACATCTAAGGCTAGGGCATACCACGAGTTTCTTTTATGACTTACAAACATGGTCTTAGAGCCTTTTAAGGTTTTTACAAACTACCCACCAAGAGGGATTGCTGGCGTTAATTATGACTCGAACCCAGGTCTTAATATAGCGAAGAGAACGATCCTTACCAACTCAACTAACTCTCGTTGGCTATAATATACCTATATTTATAGAAATGTTTCATCGTTTTCCATAATTAACATAAATAAATAAATTACCGGATTTTCACAGTATATATGAGGAAAAAAAAATCTCTTCTTGATACTAATCTTTGCACAATTTTAGGGAGAATTATTAATTTTCTTGATTGAATTTCTTAATTAATATTGAAATTTAACATTTATGTTTCAATCAAAATATTCAAACCAGTTAGGTTAAGTCTAAGATATTGATCAATTAGGGACCAAAACCAAAATTTTCCGTAGATAATTGGTCGGCATGTCAAATGATGTTATGGTCACATGAAAAATTACTGATGTATGGTCGATATCTAAAATAATTTAGAAATTATAACCAATTGAGGGAATGAAGTAAGTAGTGAAAGTGATCTCGTTGCTAATATAAATCCGATCGGCTGAGCCAACAATGAGATACAATTTCCCCAATACCATTAACAAGAACAAAACAGCAACCCAACGGCACACACCAAGCTAAAGATGAATAATAAACAAACACGCTTAGTATTGCTAAGGGAAAATCAAATCGAAATCTTTTAATTAAAATATTTATGCCGGCTTTCAACCCAGCTCATGATTCCTGATAGGGCACAATGAACCTTGTCATTCTCGCACCCCTCTTCTTCTATTTGTACCCTTCCAGCTTCCCCTACTCTAATTCTTTCACCACACCGACTGAACCTTAACCCCATTTTATTCAATCCCTCCATTCTTCTTCTTCTTCTTCTTCTTCTATCAAAACCTACTTTCCAAAACGAAAAACCCTAATTTTTATATATGATGGCTCATATTCACAAGGCATATGATCACCATCACTGGCTTTTCATGCTAATTTTCTTAGTATTATCGTACGTTGCTTCATCTTCGGACCCGACGGAGGCAGCCACGCTCCTCAAGTTCAAGTCATCTCTATTGAACGCCACTGCTCTGGACAACTGGACTAATGCCACATCTCCCTGCAACGGCAAGGACAACTGGGCAGGTCTGGTTTGTGATCACGATGGCAATGTGTTCGGGTTGAATTTATCGAAGATGGGTCTCCGGGGGATCATCGATATAGACGCACTTTTGGATTTATCTGGCCTGAAAACCGTAAGCGTCATGAACAATAGCTTTGACGGGCCTATCCCTAGTGTGAACAAACTTAGTTCACTTGTGTCATTTTACTTGTCGTACAATCACTTCTCTGGTGAAATCCCAGAAGACTTTTTTGTTGGGATGAATTCGTTGAAGAAAATTTATCTGGATGGGAATAAATTCACGGGGAAAATACCGAAGTCGTTGGCTGCATTGACTAAGATTGTGGAATTGGATATTCGGGGAAACCAATTCAGTGGGAAGCTACCAAATTTTCCACAAAATCCTAAGGCATGGAAGACTATGAATGTGTCATACAACAGACTCGAGGGTCGAATTCCGGCAAGCCTGAGAAATTCCGACCCAAGCGCTTTCCTCGGTAAGTAATCAGTTCAAGAATTTCATTATTGTCCATCTTTATTTTAGAATGCTTTATTTTTTTCAGTTTTCAGCCAGTACAGAATACATGATTTTCCTTTAAATGTGTTTCTAAGTTCAGAATTTGACAATAAAATTGTGCTTTTACACATCCACTTATGGGTGAACTAGCAAATTGATGTGCACGATTACTCTATTTCTTTGTCGCAGTGAGAACTTCTTTTTCAATAGTCTCTTATGTGAATTTCATTACAAATTAACGTACATCAACGGTTGACAGTCGTTCATGCACGTGTAAATAACTATTGTTAACAGTCACTTAGAATGTATTTAATTGTGTATTTGAGTGTGAGAAGGGGAAATTTGGTCTAAATGTCATGTTAACTAATGAAATATATTAGAAAAAAATGTAATTGCATGATTTGGTACTTTCATATTAGAACTAAAAGTTCAAACATTAACAAAAGAAGGAAAATCAAGACCTTCTAATCATTTCTAAGTAGAAGAAAAAATTGGATTCGTTGACAAAAACATTGAGACATGCTCTAAACTTGATCTTCACAAACACGAATTTTTTTATATAATGGAAGCACGTCGATACAATGTCATAATCTTTTGTTTATTAAGCAAATTACTTTTATCAAACAAAATGGGTTCTTTCCATTTTTAGTTTCTTGGGCCTAATTATGGGCCTCTTGTGTTGACCAAACAGGAAACCTAGACTTGTGTGGGACACCACTGCCTGCGTGCAAGTCCTCAAAGTTGTAAATTTAACAATATTATGCAGGATACAAAGGGTTGTGTGGGAAGCCCCTTGCGCCATTGAAATCTGATGCAGGATCAAATTAAGGAATTATTTCTTATTTTGTATTAAGTTTTGTTATCTATTTTATTTTTCATAATTACTAATTCGACAGAGAAATTAAGTACTTTTCTAATGTATTTTTATTTCTTTGTAGAACACTAGATTATTTTCTTTAATTATATAAATACAATGTAATTTAGAGTTAAGGAGGACTTTTGGATTAATACTATTGAATATTTTCTTTGAACGACTTGCGTTTTTATCCCCTTCTCGTGTATTTATTCATTGTATTGATGTGACTGCTTCTGGATCCGCATTAAAATGTACGAGAAAGTTGATCAATTTTTTTGAGTAAGAGTGAAACTACCACAGTAATTTACATTAAGATACACTTTGAAGTGTAATCAGTTTCAAACTGTCTACAGCAAACTCAAGTATTTTTGGTCGAAGAAGCAAGAACCAATCTATTAAGAAATTCTAACGAGTTTACAAACAGTAGAGGGATCAGTTGTGACATCCCACATCGCCTAGGGGAGAGATCCTTAAATGTATATTACCATCCCTACCTAGCACGAGGCCTTTTGGGAGCTCACTGGCTTCGGGTTCCATGGGAACTCCGAAGTTAAGCGAGTAGCGCACGAGAGCACTCCTAGGATGGGTGACCCATCGAGAAGTTCTCGTGTGAGTTCCCAGAAACAAAACCGTGAGGGCATGGTCGGGGCCCAAAGCGGACAATACCGTGCTACGGTGGTGGATCGGGCCCGGGTTGTGGTGGGGGCCCGGGCCGGGATGTGACATCTGTTTTGCTATTTTCTTAATTATCGATGTTATAAAGGTATATATCCACTGCCATTTGAGTATACATTTTATATAGTTCTTTTTACAAGGTATTTTATAAAGTTTTAAGTTATTTTCATTAGTTTTCATTATTTTATATAGCTTTTATATGCAGAATACGTATGATTGAAGTATGTCATAGCAGCATTGTAACAAAATTACAGTTTTTTTTTGTTAACAGAATAACTGTTTAGGACAGGTAATAATACTCTTAACTATTAAAATAATAGTTTTTATGGTGCACACAACTCTTTTTTTTTTTTTTTTTTTTTAATTTTAAATAAAGTACATGTAATTACTTGCAAATCACGTACGACATCTTATATATATAATTATACAAGTATTTTACTTGGAAGTGAAGTTATCGTCTACATCACATGGAAGTTTGGCTGAACCAACAATGAAGTTCGCGTCGTCATTACAAGAACAAAGAGCAACCTAGCTAGGTAAACAGCACAAACCAAGCTGGAAAAATTATTAGTATAATAAAGAAACTAACGTTGTGTATGTAGCTAACCTGCGACAATTACAAA